CACCCCGCCGGGACCATGCCAAACCCGACGGGATACCGGAGACACCAATGGAGGACTGACCCAGCAGGAAGAGGTGAACCCCCCCCCGCCGGACGGAGGATGTGACAAACATACTACCTAGCTTTCAAAGGGGTAACAAAGAGGACTTGGGGAATTACAGACTAGTTGGCTGAATTTCAATACCAGGAAAGATACTGGAACAATTTATTAAGCTGACAATTTGTAAGCATGAAGAGGATAATAGGGTTATACGGAATAGCCTGCATGTTTTATAAAGAACATATCCCAATCCAACCTCATTTCCTTGTTTGACAGGATTACTGGCCAAGTGAATAAAGAGGAAGAAGGAAATGTGATATATCTTGAGTTTGGTAAGATTTTTGCCACAGTCCTACATGACATTCTCATAGGGAAATGTGGTCTTGGTGAATGTCCATCAGGTGGACACACGTCTAGGTTGAAAGACCATACTCAAGATGGTTCACTGTCAAACTGGAAGGATGTATTTAGCCAGGTCCAACAGGAGTCAGTCCTGGGGCTGGTAGTATTGAATATTTTCATTAATGCCTTGGGGTATGTCTACACTACCCCGCTAGTTCGAACTAGCGGGGTAGTGTAGACATACCCATAGATTATGACCAGACGAGACGGAGGAAGTAGCCCAGGACGGGGTCAGGAAAACCCCGGGGACTGGTGAGTTGCAGCCGTAGCCCCCCCGGTCGGGCAGCGCATCTACGACGCCTACCCTTAGGGTCCTGGGCTGGGACCTGGAGAGGGGGAGGGCCCAGGTCCCCTCCGCCTCGGAAGGTCCCCATAAGGGCCGGTCGGGCTATTGCAACAGAGGACTAAGGGTCCCCCTCACCCCACGGGGGGAGCCCCGACATGTGGCTAGACGGGTCGGTGCATGACAGGTGTTCTAACACATTCCAATTTTCAGGAGGAAATATGTTCTATGTTTGTATATTACAGGTAAATGAATAAGCCCATGTCCTATATTTCCTGACCTAACCAGCTGCCTTGACCCCCTGAAAAGGCTTCCAATTTATGGGAAGAAGAGTCAAAACACAGCCATTGATACATAGGTTGGAACAGGTTCATTTACTGGATCCTCCCACTGACCAAAGGATTAACGATCCTCTCTATGACTTAGGTTTACAAGAGCCATGTCCATCTTTCCTAATAGACTAAATAGAGGGTCAATCACTGTGCCATAAGGGCCTGGAAGGCAGACAGCAAAAGAATCAGGGAAGTTTCTGAGCTTCAAAAAGTTCCTGGTTGGGGGATACATTTCTAAATGTTAGGGGATTAAATTTGATCAGGGATGAAAGCTTACTGAAATCACTGGAGCTGCACCAGAGGTGAGCTTGGCCCATTCATCTTGGCTGTGTCTACATTGGCACCCTTTTCCGGAAAAGGGATGCTAATGAGACCAGTCGGAATTGCAAATGCCGCGGGGGATTTAAATATCCCCCGCGGCATTTGCATGAACATGGCTGCCGCTTTTTTCCGGCTCTGGGTTTTGCCGGAGAAAAGCGCCAGTCTAGACGGGATCTTGCGGAAAATAAACCCTTTTCCGGAAGATCCCTTATTCCTACTTGAAATAAGGAATACTTGAAAGTAGGAA